AAAAAATAAAATAAAATAAAATAAAAATAAATAAAAAGATAAAAACAATATTCCATGCAACAGGAACTCAGAAAAAAGAAAGGCAGGAAGAGCTATCCTAATTTTAGACTGAATGAATTTAAAGCCACGACTGATCAGAAGAGGTCAAGAAGGCTGCTATATATTGATTAAAGGAACAATTTAACAGGAAGAGATAACAAATACATCAAATAACAGCACATTTAAGGGGCTGGTGAGATAGCTCAGTAGAATAAGCGCTTGCCTGGCAAGCGCAAGGTCCTGAGTTCAGTCCGCAGTCCCGCCAAAAAATAAAAACCATTTAACTTCACAAAATAAATTCTGACGGACATGAAGAGCAGATAAACAATACATCTGTGCAGATGAAACTCCATACTCCATCATCACATGTACAGATAAACAAGACAAAAAAGAAAAAAAAATCAACCAAGAAATATCAGAGTTGAACCAAATCTTTGAATAAATAGATTAAATGGTTAGCTACCAAGTATTCTAACAAGAATACATATTCTTCTCAGCAGCACATAGTACTTTCTCCAAAACTGACCACATACTAGCCCATAAATGAGTAAGTAAATGCAAGGAATCAAAATTATCCCATGTACATTATCAGATCATAGTACAATAAAACTAGAAATCAATGGCAAAAGATACCACGGAAACTATACAGAACATGAAAATCAAAACCCTCATTAATGATCAATGGCTCACAAATGAAATTTAAAAGTTACTACACAGTTCTACCACCAAACCATATTGATAATACAACATATTGAAACATATAAGAAACAATGAAGACAGTCCTAAGAGTGAAGTTTACAGCAGTAAAATCCCACATCAGAAAAAGAGCAAGTTCAAATATATAACATAACGATGCACTTCAAGATTGTAACAAACAAGAATAATCTAAACTCAAAGCTAATAAGGAATAAAGATCAGAAAAGAAATTAATTTTTTAAAAACACATAAGTGGGGGGGTGACCGGCGCTGGAAAAGGACGAGACGGAGCCTCCTTCTTTGTTTTCGTTCCCTTTATTTTCACGTGTCCTTCTTCCTCCTCTCTCTTCTTCTT